TTTTCACCCCATCGATGTCATCGATGCCGAGGCTGAGAAGTATCACACGCTCTGGTCGGAACATCCAGTCACGCCTAGACATGTGTCGGAGCTTATGTCTCGCATTCGTGTTGAGGCGGCCTCGGAGGAGCTACCAGAACTCACGGCGCAGGATTCACGGCCAGCGCTTCGGAAGATGCGAGCATCAGCAGGCCTTGGCATCGATCAATTTACGCCTCTCGATCTCGAGAGGCTACCAGATGCTGCCTTGGAATCCTTATGTCAATTTTTCACGGCTTGTGAGCAGGCGCTCACTTGGCCATGGCAAGTATTAGCGGTACTGGGGAAACTACTGGCCAAAAAGTCTGGAGGGGACAGGGTGATTGGGCTTCTATGCATGGTCTGCCGTCTCTGGTCTCTCGCGAGAGACGGGCATGCCAAGTTGTGGGCTTCGGAGACCACACCAGCATGGGATGCAGCAGTCTCTGGCAACTCGGCTTTAAGGGAGGCCTTTCGGAGAGTTATGGATGCTGAAGTTTGCAAGCGTCTGGGGGTATCTTTCAGTCAGGCTATCCTGGATATTAAAGGCTTTTACGATTCCATCCTCTGGGACATCCTGGTAGACACAGCGTTGAACCTTGGGTTTCCTTCGGTTATGTTGGGCTTGGAACTTCAGCAATGCATGTCGCCTCGCATTTTGAGTCAGAACGGGGCTAACAGTCTGGCGTTTCAACCCCACAAATCAATTATCCAGGGGCTTCGCAATGGCACCAGGTTTGCCAGGTGCTTAACCTATTGCATTCTTGAAAGAATTTCCCAGGCCCCGTTTTCGGCCACGCAAAGGATCTGGATTGACGATTTGATGTTGCAAATTGTGGGGTCGCATCGGGCCGTGGTTGATTCTACTGTGCATTGTATCAGTCAGGTGGCGCAGTCTATGGACGAGTATCACCTTCAGTTGGCAGACAAGAGTGTTGTTATCAGCCCCGTTCATTCTGCAGCGCAGCAAATCGCATGTCGGCTTAAGCGTCGGCGCATCAAAGTCAAAGCAGTTCTGCAGGCTCCCTACCTGGGCATTGACCTAGGCGCGGGAGTCAGGCAGGCCAGGCGTACCAGGCGGCAGCGAGCCGCCAAGGGGCTTGTGCAGCACCACAGGTTGAAGGGATATGCTCGGGCTGCTAGGCGGTATCTCACCACCAAGAAGATTGAACTGGCTGGTCCTCAGGCTTGTTCTAGCTACGGTCTAGATATTTATGGTATTATGGGTCATCAACTCAGGAGGTTACGGCAACGTCTGGGGGCAGTTTCTGGTCCTGGAAAAAAAAGGCAAATGTCTCACTACCCTCCTGGATCTCAGAGCACCACTTCGGGATCCTGGTATTACTTTACCAACGCCGTGCCTCAAGACTTGGCTGGATTGCTGGATTAGGTTTCCTCAGTCTCATGCTGGTGTATTTCGCGTTTGGGATGCCGTTCGGAGGGATTTAGAAGCTATCGAACCCAACAGAAGGTCACGTCACATTCGGGGTCCTATCTCAGCGGTCATTACGCACCTTCTGTCAGCGGGTTGGACACCAACGGCTCCCAACGATTGGAAAGGACCAGCGCTCCCTGGAGGGGGGTACGACTTTCAATGGACCTTTCCAGCTGAAGCTCTGGTCTCAATCGACGAGGCTGAGGGCTTGCTTCAAGATTTTCGCGACACGTTGGCAGCACAGCAGTGGGCAGCGGCTGAGTCTCATTTCTGTGGGGCAGGTATCTCGGGAGGGGTGGACAATCTCTCCTTAAGGTGTCTTCTCCAGCAGCTTGAAACAGCCAAACACGGCAGGCAGTTAGCAGAGGTCATGTTGTGTATTGCCACTGGGGGGTGCTTGGCCAGAAGATCGCAAATTTCAGGAAGGATTAATTAGCATGAACGAATGTCCTAGGTGCAAGCTCGCAGGTCGCGGGTCCATCCCAGAGACACCGCTGCATAGGCACTGGCTCTGTCCTAGCAATTGCGAGCACCCAGCTTTCAAGGAGTCAGATGACTTGCTTCCGAAGGCCATCGCGCAAGGAGAAGTAGAGGCTGTATTCTGGCACCGAGGGTTGTTACCATCCAGTTGGACTTTCGTGCCCCCTCCTCCGGAGGAGGAAAATTGGTCTTTTGTGGATATTTTTACCGCGGAGCTGGCTCCTGGGGCCCTTGGCACGGGTTTACCTGGAAATCCAGTGTACGTGTTCGGAGATGCGTCTGGCGGGAAGGAAGGGGGGGACGTCAGGATGAGGAGGGTGGGAGTTGGGCTGCTTGCCGCTGCCTCGCTCCGACCTTTCCAAATCGGCCCCGTCGTCCTCGGCCCGCTTGCGGGAAGGCATCAATCCGTTCCCAGGGGCGAGCTTCGGGGCCTCGAGTTGGCCATTCGCCTGTCGCTCGGGGACCTTGTCTATGTGACAGACAATGATGAAGTATCGCGAGGTTGGGCTTCCAGGCTGCACGAGCAGCCTAGCGGAGTCATGGCCGCCACGTGGCGGCAGATCGGTCTGCTGATGAAGACTCGCGTCGGTTCAGTTGTGGTTCTTAAAGTCGCTTCTCATGTCGCCCCGTCCGACCAGGAGTTTCGGCTTTTCCCAGACTGGATGATTGCAGGTAACGAGGCCGCCGATGAGATTGCTAGGGTTGCTGCGCAGGTTGCGAGAGTGTCAGAGCAAGATCGTGCACGTTTGCTGCTATCGGAGCAGATGGCGAGGGTGGTGCGAAGGCGATTGTTGAGATCCACGTTGGCTGCGATGGATGCTTCTGTCAGAGTCCGCAGGATTGAAAATCAGTCTGAGCGCCCTCCTGCTGCTGCTGCTGCCGTGCCCCCCCCTGCTCCTCCCGCCCCAGCCGTTGTGGCCATGTTCTCGTCGGCACATGTTTTCGACGAAACTGGCACTCGATGTCTTAGGTGTCGAGGTTCTTCCACGGCAGCCGCCAGGACCGCTTGGATGGCCAGCCCGTGTTTTGAACTTGAAGCGACTGGGGACGGTACCTGGAGACCACCGCAGGGGTCGAGGGTCCACGTGGGGGGGGGGGGTTCGTGCACGAGTCTCATTGCATGATATTTTCTCAGCAATCTGGAGTTTGGATCTGTGGGGAATGCGTGTTTTTCGGGCAGCTCGTTCTTCGCGAGCTCGCCAAACCTTGTGATCCCAAGAAGATTTCCAACGCGCGGCGTGAGTTTTTAGACAGATTTCATGGGGGCCTGCGGCCCAAGCGTCTGTCGAAACTCTAACTTTTTATTTTACGACTTTGTCATTGACCCCATTCCCATTCCCCATTCCCATTCCATTCCCATTCCATTCCTCCTCCTCCTCCTCCTCCTCAATTATTCCCCTTCCTCCCCCCGATCCCTCCTCCCAACTCCTCCGCGCTCCTCTTCCTCGCTCCTCCCCGCTCCTCCTCCCCACCATCCTCAACCTCCTCTCCTTTCCCGTCCTGCAATCTCTCGGAAACTTCCCTGGACACTCCAAGACGCTTCGCGTAGACCACACTGAAGCCTTGCAGAGAACGGTCAGAGGCCTCGCAGAGGCCCTGGAATGTACAAGCCAGAAGCCCCAAACGCCTTACAGTGACTGGCCAAGAGCCTCGCAGAAGCTTCGGAGAAGCCCTTGGGAATCCCCCCAGCCCCAGAACCCAGAACCCATAATGCATGAAAGGCCGACAACACAAATGCGCAGGCAAGCCAGTGCGACGGCACCTGGGGATTGGGCTGACAGATAGACAACACAACTGAGCAAATGGAAGGCGCTCCGGTGCGACGTACACACAGGTAGATGGATAGACCGCCGCTAGCCAAGCCAAGCCGAGGGTGCGACGGCGCCTGGGGCTTGGGCAGATGCGTGGACAAAGAAAGAGTGTAAATGGGCAGACGCATCGGTGCGACGGCGACCGGGGGTGCTAACAGATAGCTGGATCGACGCAGTCGCCCAAGTCAAACCGAGGGTGCGACGGTGACTACTCTTTCACACGCTGACAGAACAGGGCTTCTATACAGGTGGGATGTCCCCATCGTGCCCATCGGTCGGAAGAAGTAGGTGTTAGAACCATTAAGTAGGAAGGCGTTGGAAGTAGATTGGGTCTCCGCCCGCCACCTGAAGAGGTGGGAAGAGGGAAAACTACTAGACTCTTGAAGTAGGAAGGCGGCTAAAGTAGATTGGGATCTGGGAATCCAAACATACCTGCTCTCTCAACGACCGATGGGAAATTCTTCTCAGCAACAACCCTCTTGTAGCTCGATCGCAACCTGAACCCGGAGCGACGCATTTCTGACAGAACTCGTCTCACTGTGCGGCCGCGGCCGCAAGAAGCCCTCTCACGAAGCCCAGCCCTGAAACTCTACGCGCAAGTGCAGTTCGGGGGGGGGAACCCAAACCGCCCGTGCCTTCCTTCGAAACCCCCGTCCCGCCTGTTCAGACGGCTGCACCCCCGGCTCCTCGTCCTTCGCCTTCTCCTCCTGCTCCTCCTCCTCCTCCTCTCCTCCTCCTCCTCCTCCTCCTCCTCCTCCTCCTCCTCCTCCTCCTCCTCCTCCTCCTCCTCCTCCTCCTCCTCCTCCTCCTCCTCCTCCTCCTCCTCGCGAAGTCACCGCGCAGCGAACAAAAACTCCACGTGTCCTGCCGCCCAGCATCCGGCTCCTGGGTGCGCGGCCGCACCGCAGGCCCTCGGGTGATCGGTCCCGAGGGCAAGATCACTCCGCATCGACCTGGGAGCTCGGATCGGATCGCATCGCGAATCGAATCGGGGGCGCATCGGCACGGCGTCGAGATCGCATGGGACCGAGATCGGAGGCACAGATAGGCGGGCTGCGACTCCAAACAGGACTGGCGGGCAGCACGGGTGCGAGGAACATGGCCACCTATCTGATCTCCACCTCTGAGTATGCACTCCGATACCGTTAGGCGTGGGCGGGAGGATGCGTTCCTCATCCGCCAAGCCCTCCCCTCTCTGCTCCTGCTCCTCTTGTCCTCCCCTGTCCGCCGACACGTGCGGGCCCGATCTCTCGGTCCTTCTTCTTGTCGTCGCCTTTCTCTTTGGCCGTGTCCATGCCTTTCTCCCCGTCTTTGCCGTTGGCCTTCTCTTTGCCCTTCTCCTTGTCCTTGTGTTTGCCTTTTTCTCGGCCCTGGCCCTTGTCCTTGTCTTTGCGGCGGTCCCTGCTGGCGCGGCTGGAAGCGGGGCGCAGGCAGCGGCGGACTCCTCGAGTCCCAACGGCAATTCGACATCTCAGCCCAAGGAGGTCCAAACGGCCTGGACAGGCTGGGGGGAGGAGGAGCAGGAGGAGGAGGCGGAGGAGGAGGAGGAGGAGGCGGAGGAGGAGGAGGAGGAGTGAGGTGGAAAGATGTAATTACGCATGGGGCGACAACCAGCGACCAGAGAAACTTTCCAATATGTCTCGTCGTTCTTTCTCTTCCTCCTACTCTTACTCTTCCTCTGCCCCCCCTGGCCTGCTGCTGCTCCTCCACTCCTCCTCCTCTCCTCCTCCCCGCCTCCTCTCCTCCTCCTCCTCCTCCTCCTCCTCCTCCTCCTCCTCCTCCTCCTCCTCTCCTCCCTCCCTCCTCCTCCTCCTCCTCCTCCTCCTCCTCCCCCTCCTCCTCCTCCCTCCTCCCCCTGATCCTCCTCCTCCTTCCTCCCACCAGGCCTGTGAGCGAACGCGGTTTGGCGGGTCAGCTTTTCCATTCGAGTACTTCCCCTGCGGACAGAGGTTCACCCCTCCCTCGCCCTCATCCCCTTGGGCGCGAAGGCACTCCCCCTGCGAGGGGTTCTCCCACCCCGACCCCGGTCCTCCGGATCGCTCCTCCTCCCTCTGCCCACCCCCTCCTCCTCGTGTATCCCCTTGCTCCTCTGCCGCCGCCGCACCTCATCCCCGTCTTCAACCCTTTTCCCTCTCTGCCCGCCCCTCAGCACCTACGTGATCCTGTGTGCCACGTCGCCTGTCAGATCGTGTCGGCGTGAGCGATGCGGCATCAAACGAAGAAACCGGATAAGGATGAAACTCAGAAGCGTAAGAAAGTTGAGAAGGAGGTGAAACCATGATGAGGTTAAGAAGGAAAAAGAGGAGGCGGGAGTTGAAACAGAGGAGCAGCTCGAGGAGATAACGTTACGTAGGGTGAGGAAGAGGGAGAAGTGTGGGGAAGGAGGAGGCGGAAAAGGGGGACGGTGAGGCGGAAGAGGGACAGTCGGTGGAGGGTGGGGAGGCGAAAGAGGAGGCGGAGGAACAGCAGAAAAAGGGGTAATTAGAGGAACACAACAAGCAAGCGGGAGAAACTTTGGAGGAGGAGGGCGCAAGAGGAGGAAGCGGAAGAGAAGGCACATGATGACCAGAGTAGCCCCAAGCTGCGTCAGCGATGCTGCAATGCACCCTCCCATCCCGAGTCCCCTCCTCAGATTGTCCTGGAAATTTTCCTTCTGAACTGCAGTAAGCAAGCGCACCCTTGACGACAAAACAATACCCTACTGGCTGCCATTCAGGCGGAAGCATCGTTTTGAAAAAGGGCTGACTTGCATCCGTCGAGCGCGTAGCAAGGAATGCGGCATGGTATGATCACGCAGCTCATCGGGCGTCCAACGAGAAGTCCGTTCTGAGAACGGAACGCCCCGATCCGTGCACTCGCTGCGCAAGTCATGTGCACACACGCATGGACGTGGGAGGAGGAGGAGGAGGAGGAGGAGGAGGAGGAGGACGAGAAAGCCTCGAGCGAGCGCTCCATGCTGAAAGCGAACCGCCCTCCCCCCGTGCGCCTGCTGCACGTGTTGAAGGCTTCGTCGGGCCCCGCCTTTGCCTCCGCTCCCGTCTCCTGCTCTCTCGCCTCGTGCCCGCATCGGCTTCCGGCGCAGCCCACCGCTCACCTTGCCCGGCGCCTGGCCGTCTCCGCACACCTTGGCGCCCGCAGACAGAAGCGTGCTGAAGCTTCTCGCGCAAGCAGCCACGGAGTTTCAAGCGAGAGCCCCCTCTGAACAAGGCGTTGTCGCCCACCCGTGCAACTTTTGCAAACTGGCAGAAAGAATGCGAGCGGTGCTGTGGCGAGAGCACCGTTGTGAAACGGAGCCACCTGGCACTCTTGTGTGTTGCAAGATTGTAAGACGAATGTGCGCGACTATCAGGCAAGAGCCTGCTTTATCCTTGCAACCGCTGCGCGCTTTTGAAGCGAATGTGCGCAGCGCTCAGGCGGGAGCCCTATTTTGAGACGGAATCGCCATCCATCCTTGTAGCTGTGGCAACATGCATAACACGAATGCGTGCGGCGCCAAGGCGAGAATTCCACTTCGAAAACCGCCAGCCCTTCATCCTGGTATCTCTCGCAAGGTTTCAAAAACACATGTGCGCGGCGAGAAAACATTTTTGAGCTGATCTGTGCTCTATCCTTGTGTCTGCTGCTATGGTCAAGGCGAATGTGTGCGGCGCGTATGCGGGAGCCCCATCTTGACAACGATCTGTGCTCCATCCGTGTAGGTTACGAAATGCAAGCTTCAAGATCATAAGCGACGTCTTAAGGCGAAACGCCCAGCCCGCCCTACCAACACGTCTGGGGGTGCGAACGGGAGGAGTTATCTATAAGGACAAAGGATGGATGATCACCAAAGGACGATCACGACGATGAGGAGGAGGCAGAACAAGGAGGAAGCGAGGAGGCGGAAGGGGAGAGGGCAGTGGAAGAGGATGATGAGGAGGCAGACGAAGAGGCGGAGGAGCAGCAGGCGGGTGACGAGGCGGAGGAGGCGAAGCAAGAGGCAGATGAGGAGTTGGACGAGGAGCCGGTGGAACAGCATGCTGAGGCTGCTGCTCTTCCTCCTGCTGGGCAATGTGCAACAAACCCTCCCTCCAAATTCCCTCAAATTGCCTCTTCGCAGGTCCCGTCTGAGAATCCTCAGTCGGGTCACAACACCACTCCTGGGACTTCCACGCCGCGAATCAACCTGTGTGTTTCGCCCTGACATGCTTTAAATCGCGCCAGGGCACCACTCCTGGGACTTCAACGTCGCGAGTCAACGCGACTGTTGCGTCCTGGCAATCCTACACCGCACCAGAACACCTTTCCTGGGACTTCAACCGTGCGAATCCTTGAACATGCTGCGAACTTTGACGAATAACGTGACGTTACGGCGAGAGCCACGTTTTGGAAACGGGCCACCCTCCACCCCTGAAGCTCATGCAAAATTTTCAAACGAATGTGCGCGGCGCTATCGCGAGAGCAACATATTGAAAACGACCCGCAATCCATCCTTGCTGCTGCTGCCGCCAATTTTGAAAAACGAAAGTGCGCGGCGCTGCGGCGAGAGCCACATCTTGCAAACGGACCGCCCTCCATCCTTGACGCTGCTGGATACTCTTAACACGAATGTGCTGGGCGCTGAGGCGAGACCCGCATTTTGAAAACGGACGGACATCCATGCGCGAAGCGGCTGCAGCTCTCAAACTTCAGGGTCATAAGTGGTTGGGTAAATACACCGGAGGTCAGTCCACAAGAAACCTTCCGCAAGAAACCCCACCCTGAGACCCCAGGACGTCCATGGATTTTTGGTGTGGGATCGCCACGCTTTCCATAGCAAAACCATCGAATCCCAAGAAACCCAGGGCGTCCTGGAGGCAAGCAGGGTGTTTCTTGGCGTGGGTCTCCACTGTACATGGCTGGGAAAATATCAAGCGAAATGCCCGGCCCACCAGATCGACATGCCTGGGGGTGCGGCAGGGCAGTGTCATAAGGGAAAAGGACGGAGGAGCAGGAGGAGGAGTAGGAGGAGGAGGAGGGAGAGGAGGAGGAGGAGGAGGAGGAGGAGGAGGAGGAAGAGGAGGAGGCGGAAGAGAAGGGAGGAGGAGGAGGAGGAGAAGGAAGAGACGGAGGCGGAGGACGAGAAGGATGAGGAGCAGGAGAAGCAGGATGAGCAGGAGAGATGAGAAGACGGGACGAAGACATGAGGATGGGGGAGGGAGGCACCAAGGTGAGCGGAAACCGACTCCGGTGTGCCAGCCCAAAAGAGAAGGGCAGTGCACCCGCAGCTGATGCACAAGCCAAAGCTTGAGTGCGCAGAACAATTGATATGGCCCACCCTGCATGTTTGGTTCCCAGTATATCGTTAAGTGGTGCTGCAGGGAGGAGGAGAGGTGAAGCGGATAGGGGAGGAGGGGAAAGAGGAGGAAGATGACGACGACCACGACAATGACGGCGACAACGACGACGACGACACCACCAACACGACGACAACCATGACGATGACGACCGTGGCGAAAACCACCACCACGACGACGTCATTAATCGCTTCAACGACGTAATCGTTTCAACACCTCCCAGGTGCCTTTCTGGGGGGGGGGGCCTCCGCACCAACAAATCCACGCGGACCTCCGAAGGTATGTGCGTATGCTGTTTGGGGGGTTCTTCCAATACCCCCAATCTTAGGATTAAGTCGGGCTGTCCCCCTACAGGCCGATTTTGGACGAAACGTTAGAAAAAATCCAAACAATCGTCCCAAGACTAAATTTTAAACTCTTTCTGAGCACTCCTCCTGTAGAGGGACAGGCCCGACTTGATGTTAGGGTGCGGAGGGGGACGGCGGAGTGGAGGAGGGCGAGGACGCCGACGGCCGAGAAAGGTTCGACCGGATCCGACATGCAGACGACAAAGGAGTGGGCGAAGCGGGGAAGAGGCCGGGGTCGTCGCAGCCACCTGGCTCCTCCCTCCCCGCTCGCCTCGCCTCCCATGGCCCGGCCGGGGGCGCAGGAGTGAGGGCGAGGAAGTGGAGGAGAGCGAGGAGGAGGAGGACAAGGAAGGGGAGGAGGAGGAATACTCGACTCGACTCGATGAAGGCTCTCATGGTCAGCCTGCCACAAGCGCGGAGGAGGAGGAGGAGGAGGAGGAGGAGGGGAAAGAGGAGGAGGAGGAGGAGGAGGAGGGGGAGGAGGAGGATGAGGAGGAGGAGGAGGAGGAGGATGAGGAGGAGGAGTTGGACCAAGGCGAGGAGGAGCGGGGCACGCAGCTGTTTGCCCTTCTGGCGATCCTTGCGCTTCGAGCCACGACGACCAGCCACGGCGACACCGACAACGACAACGACAACGACGACGACGCCGACGACGACGACGACGACGGCGGCGACGACGGCGATTACGACGACGCCGACAACGACGACGACGACGACGACGACGACGACGACGACGACGACGACGACGACGACGACGACGACGACGACGGCGCTGTGTCGACGGGCGCCGCCGCAGCGCCCACGCGCGCGCGCACGCGGCCTCCGGCGGCTGCGCGAGCGCGAGCCCCGGCGGCGCCGGCGCTCCCTGGTGGGAAGGGGGGATCAGTCAGAAGCGTCGAATCGGGAGGTCGGCTCGAAGCGGACTGTAGGTCGGGCCTGGCTTCGTCGGCGCGGAGTCGGGATCGAATCGGATCGGCTGCGCCAGGGTGCACAACACCGCCATGCAAGCATCGGAGCGCACCAAGACGTCGGAGCATCAGAGTTCAATCGGAGCGAGCCGTGCTAACTAGACGTCGAAGATGAGGAGGAGGAGGAGGCGCGAGGGGGAGGGAGGTATGGGGAGGGGGGATGAAGAGGGGATGGGAAGGGGGGAGTGAGGAGGGGACGGGATGGGGGGAGGCGAGGAGGGGACGGAGGAGGAGTAGCGGGAAGGGCCCGATACTTCCTCACCATGTGCCCCCACGAGGCTCGAAATTTGTAACATGCTCAAGCATGGAGGGGTCTTTTTCAACATTGGCGCTCGCCTTAGCGCCGCGCACATTCACTTCGGAAAGAATCAGCAGATCCAAAGATGGAGGGGTCGTTATCAACATGTGGCTCTCGCCTTGGCACCGCGCAGATTCGATTCGCAAGTCTGCAGCAGTTGCAAGGGTGGAGAGCAGGTCATTCTCAAGCTGTGGCTCTCGCCTTATAGCACCGCTCACATGAGCATCTCAAAGCAAAAGCCTTTTCAATAATGGGAGGGTATCGTTTTCACGACATGACTCTCGCCTCCGCGCCGCGCAAGTCCGTCTCACAAGTGTGAGACAGCTTCAGGAATGGGGGGATCATATTCAGAATGCGGCTCTCTCACCTGTGCGCCGCGCACGTTCGCATTCACATGTTGCAGCAAATTCGAGGATGGACGTGTGTGTGTGTGTGTGTGTGTGTGTGCGAGTGTGTTCAAACCGGTGCTCTCGCCTCAGCGCCGCGCACATTCGTTTTACATGTTGCCGTAGTTTCAGGGATGGGGGACGGCTCCTATCCAAAATGTGGCCCTCGCCCGAGCGCCGCCAGCACTTTCGCCCCAAATTCCTGCAATAGCTTCCAGGATTGATCACTGGTCGCTTTGCAAATACGGTTTTCGTCTCAGCGCGCATTCGTTCTGCAATGCAAAGTTTAAAGGGTGAAGAGTTGAGAAGGAGAAACAACAAAATACACAAAAACTTTTGGCGTTCCGCGCGGATGTCTTGGATCTGCGCTGGACCCCTCTCCCTGGCGCGCGGAGCGCGCCAGGGGCGGCGCCAGAGGCGCTGCCGGAGGGCCCAGGCGCAGATCCGAGAAATCCGCGCGGAGCGCCAACAGTGTATGCTTGCAGTAGGGGCTCGACCACAAGAAACCTTCCACAAGAAACCCAACTTCGACAACCCAGGACGTCCATCGGTTTTTGGTGCGGGAACGTGTCACGCTTCCCGTAGCCAAACCATCGAAACCCAAGAAACCCAGGGCACCCTGGAGGCAAGCAGGGTGTTTCTTGGCGTGGGTCTCCACTGTACCTGGTTGGGAAAATATCAAGCGAAGCGCCCAGCCCGCCCTATCGATACGCCTGGGGGTGCGGCAGGGCAATGTCATAAGGGAAGAGGACGGAGGAGCAGGAGGAGGAGGAGGAGGAGGAGGGGGAGGGGGAGGAGGAGGAGGAGAGAGGAAGAGGAGGCGGAGGAGAAGGGAGGAGGAGGAGGAGGAGAAGGAGAAAGAGACGGAGGAGGAGGAGGAGGAGGAGGAGGAGGAGGAGGAGGAGGAGGAGGAGGAGGAGGAAATGCTTCTTGGCATGGGCCCCCACCGTGTGGCGCCCAGTCTTCGAGAGCTGCAACAATTCTTCAGACGGGGGCACTCCCGGGACGCTCCGTTGCCCGACGAAGGCCTGGAGCATGTCACCGCACACGTGCCACCGCACGGCCTGCGCGGATCCGAAGGCGGACCCTTCCTCAACATCGGAGCTGTCGCTTTTGAGACCTCCTCGAAGCTCGTAACCACAAGTGTACCCATCGGTCGGAAGCGGCAGGCAGAAGCATGAAGCAGGAAGGCGCTGCACGTACATTGGGTGTCCCCCCGCCTCCTAGAGAGGACGGAAAAGGTGAAGCCACTCGATCATTGAAGTAGGAAGGCGCTTGAAGCTGATTGGAATCTGGAACTCCATATATATATGTATATATATATATATATACTAGAACCACGCGCGCGCGTTCCGCGCGCGCTTAGGTTCTAGCGCAGTCCTAGCCAACCTCATAAGATCGGATGAGGATGGACATCATCTGGCAAGGGTCACCAGGAGGGAGACGCTGAATAAGCGCTCCAGGAAGTTGCGCAAGGCGTCCAGAAGAAGGACACAGGGCAGGCTCAGGCGGATGCCCGAGAACCCTTGAGAGCCTGGCAAGACCATGCTGGGAGCATTGGTGGATGCCTTTGGGTGACGCTCTTGAAGGCTTTTATAAAAAAAGACTTCGCAAGAGCGCAAGCGCAAACTGAATTGGAAGCAAACCGAAGTCGCCTAACCATACCTTATGTTCTGCCCCCGGGCAGAAATGTGGGAACCGTGTCCCCAAAGGAAATGAAGCGAAGCTTCCTCGCGCCCATAGTTGCTTCCAACGCCGAAAGCTAAAAGCAGAGGGTAAAAAAATGGAGCGAAGCTTCCTCGCGTCCAGCGGAACTTCAAGCTCAAAGTAATTATAAAACGAGGGGGATGGCCAGGCTCCCGTGGGCCCCCAGAACATTGGGCTCCGTCGCTCCAGGCGGCGCCACAGCACCGCTTCCCTCGGATGTGCCCCCAAAGTTCTTCTTGGGGCCCCGGGCCAGAAGATTCAGCTACGGGCGGCGCTTGCTTTAAGCGGCCCTAAACCCTAAACCCTAAACCCTAAACCCTAAAATCCTAAACCAGGGCCCGAGGCCCAGGATCTCGCGGCGCTCGGTCATCGGCCGCGCCCCGGCAGAGTGCCCTGGGGCTGATCAGGACTGCGAGGCCATGATCGGGGCGCGCTGGCCCTCCCCTGCGGCCTCGTTCGCGGAGATATCCACCGGCACGGAGGGGGCGCCACAGCGCCTGAAGGCCAACGCGGCACCTGCGAGCACCGCGGCTCCCCCGATCGCTCCCAGGCCGATCGTCGCAACGCTCGCGAGAGACCGCTGCCCTGCCAACGGCAGGCCGTCCATCACGGAATACAGCCTGGTTTTTTGGGTTTCATGATTCCAGTCGCCGAGGGCGCACTTCTCCTCGCCGCCCTTGCAGTGGGGGCACTCCTTGTACAGGTCTCGCCGAGCGCCTGCTCACAGATCATGTCCTTCACTGCATCTGGGTCGTTGGAATCGGACGCGACGACCTCCTTGGCCTCCTTCCCATCGCGGGCGTTCGATATCTCCGCGACCCTATCCATGAACCAGAGGCAACAATTATCCGATTCGCCGCACCTCGAGTTCTCATCAACTTCCCGCCAGCATCCGATGTCACAGCTGACGGGGCCGACAGAATCCCAGTAGCTGAACATATGTCCGCACCCGGTGGGGACAGCGGCGGCCTGCAGGAGCGCGGCGGCCGCGAGCACCAGGCGGGCCATCGCTGTTGGGGTTTCGGGCCGATTGAAGCAAAGAAGCCGCTGCCTGTGCCGGCGGGGGCGGGCTGAACCAAAGCGTCTTGAGCCAAATGGCTACGGAGGACGCTCTGGAAGGCTCTTGGGGGTTTGGGGGGGTGGGGCATCTCGGGTTTGGGTTTGGGCTCCCCTGGTGGCATATTAAGACTTTTTGGGGGCGCTTCGGGGGCCGGGACCGTCAGGCAACGACTCACGCTGAAAAACTGGCCGTAGGGAAGGTGGCCAGACCTCTGGGGGTCCACGCATCAGAAAGACTGGAGCGCCAAATGTCTGGGTATTGCAGTGGCCAGATCCTGAGCGACGTAGCTCGCAGCGTTCCTCGGCTTTTCAGTGTCCTCAGCGTGCGACAGAGCGGTGGGTCTCGTGAAACCCTACCACAGCCGACGTCCACGCAGGAACTCTCTCAAGGGACGGTCCGCGGCCTTCAGCCCAGGACCCAAAACCCAGGGCTCCACGGCGGTACCACGTGAAACACAGAAACCAGAGGCGGAGCAGTCTCTGTCGCATGTCGCGAGGGCGGCCCTGGCGACACGCTACGGCCCACGCGAGTGGATAGCGTGTCGCTGCGATCCTCGGGACGCCGACGCGCGGGAACTGGGACGTGGATAGCACAGACATGCGACGTCCTGATTTCGTCAATACGCGGCCCCCGAAGTCCCGACCCTTTCCCCGGGGACGGCTCTTCATCCTGAGACGTTCCTTGACGGAAGAAGAGGAAGAGGAGGAGGAGGAGGAAGAAGAGGAAAAGGAGGAGGAGGAGGAGGAAGAGGAGGAGGAGGAGGAGGAGGAGGAGGAGGTGGGAGACCGCACTCGCATCGTGGCGGAGGATGGAGGTATGGCGTCATTTGCGCAGGGCACAACCGCAGGAAGATAACTACCTAGCGGACGGGACGACACTGAAGGCGCGGTTTCTTTGAGGACGGCATTCCGACGCTCTTGTTTTGCAGTGTTGGGCTGAGGTTGACATGGCTGACATGAAGTGGGCGTGGCAAGTTTGTGGTTGCAGTCTGCCGAGCATTTCTGGGTTCCAGACAAACCAATCGTGCAGGCTGACGGGGACGAAGCAACGCTGGGGGGAATTTCCTCGCGCGAGGGGGGCGCGGCACGCGTGGCGCCAATCTGGGGCGGGGTTGGGAAGGTACCAGCAGAGGCCGCGGGAGAACCTGATTCGAGGCGCAGACCGAACGTGCCGCGGTGGTTCCGCGCGTGCGACGACGCGGACGTGGACGGGTCGTCGACGGAAATGCCTTGCACTGTGGACGGCTGGTGGGCCGCGGGGGCCGAGGTGGCATGGCCTGTTTTTTTTCCGACGTTTACCGGGCACGGGAGGCGCGCGGCATCCGCGCTTGAGCACCTCAGAGGACGCGTTGTACTCATGAGCTGCTGCTTCGTCGAAGGTTTCGTGTGGCGTCACGCGGTCCGTGACGCATGCCGCATGGAGTCGGACCAGTTCCAGGGGGGACTCACGCGCCTCGTCCATTGTGACGCGCGGCTCGCCGGGCAGCGCGAGCGTGACGTGGGTTGCAGGGGACTGCAGACGCTGGGCGATTCCGCCCCTTCCTACGGGGCCGGGCATGGGCGAAGACGTGGAGCCGTCGGGGCAGTCCTGGCATCGTGCTGCTCGGAGAAGTGACGCGTCGAAGATGTTCGATGTGAACGCTCTTGCAGGAGCGTTGCCCGCAGGGGGCGACAGCCCCTGCTCGGACTGGTGCGTCTCTTCTACTAATCCTCTTGTGGTCTCGAAGCTGCATCCTCGGGATATGGCTACGTGCAACTGGCCGTGCGCGAAGATTGGCTTTGGTAGATACACGCCGAGGCGACCTTGGAGGGACTGTCCTTGCGATTTGTTAATGGTGATGACCCACGCCGGTTTCACGGGGCACTGGCGTCGTCGGAGCACGAATGGGAGTTCGCAATCCCCGCAAGGGTCCCTAAGGGTCGCAGCAGATCCGCGGCAGCAGCTCGACGTTACCCGCAAAGGGCCGGCGACGACACGGACGACCAGGAAGTGCGACCTCATTCGTTCTACGACGAGACGCGTGCCGTTGCAGAGGCCTCGATGCGGAGCGAAGTTCCGCAGCAGAATTACCAACGACCCGAGTCGCAGTCGGGGCTCGTGAGGGGGATGTCCAGCGGTCTGGATGTTGTTCAGGAACTCCGTGGTGTACGTGGCCCCGTGGTCTACCTCAGCGATAGCGACGTCCTGGCTCGGGGAGACGACTTCTGTGTCGCTCGGCAGTTTTGCGTGCATGAGCGCATTCAGGGTGTCTGCTGCCTGGCTTGTTGGTGTCACTACGGCTCGGGATGCGTAGTACTGGTGCCGCTGGGCAGGCTGCGCAGCGTCGACCCCCTCGTACACCCATTCCAGCAAATGCTCTGGCTTCCAAGAGTGGGGGGCGAGGACGGCATCTGGGAGTTCGACCACGCACGCTTGGTACTCTCTGTCTACGCCGGTGAACGGCGGCGACCCACAGGCGCCATCGCCGACGCTCAAGCAGAAGTCGGCGAAAGCTGTGTCCGCATTGGCCCGCATGTTCTTGCAGAGGCGAAACTTTTTGACGTGAGCAGAATCCCACCACGGCATGGCAGCCAAGGTGTGGTTGAAGACTGCGTCGCGGTCGAGGTATCGGAGCACGGGGGGGATTTGGCGGAAATTGCCTCCGAAAACCACGGTCTTCCCTCCGAAGGGCCGGCTGTTGCCGAGGAGTTCCTGTAAGCACCTGTCTACGGCCTCAAACATGGCGCGCGAGGCAGTGGGCGCTTCGTCCCAAACGATCAGTGCCGCGTCTACTACGAGTTTCGCTGCCGCCGACTGCGCTTTGACGTTTGCTTTGTAGCCTTCCAATGGGACGGGGACGGGGAGGCGGAAGCGGGAGTGTGCGGTGCGTCCTCCGGGCAAGAGTAGTGCTGCGATGCCCGACATCGCTACAGCCAGTGCTATTATGCCGGTCATTCGTACATAATGCAGGATCTTCTTGTACACGTGGGTTCTGTCAATGCATGATGTTGGCGACGTCTGTGCTGCGGGGGCCGTCTACGCGTGCCCGGACGAAGTCGAAGATGGGATGCTGGTCGTCGTTGAGAGCGAGTCGGTCGAACTCGTCTTTTTCTTTGCAGAGTTCTGACGGGCTGCGCAACTCCCGCGCGTATTCCTGCGCCGCTCGCTCGGCGGGCAAGAGAGCTCCGTCCGGCGACGGCGGCGCGATCGCGTAGGCTGCAAGCGTGGACCCGTAGAGAGCCAGACTTTCGTCGACAGCTCGATAGACGGTGGACGGTTCTACGGCCTGGTGGTGTTCCGACAAGTGATGTAAAAAACGACGTCCAAAATCCGGCTTTGTCGTTGATGTCCATCCAGACCAGGAACTGGGCGAACATCTCACAGAGACGAAAAAAGTTTCGCATAACCCTGCACGCCTCCGCAAGTGCGGCGACCACTTCTATGTCATCGGCGAGGAGGCCCAAATGCCTGGCGTGCTCTTGGAACGTGGGGGTTGCATCCGTGCTCGGTGATCGCTCGAGGGCATTCCACGATGTGGCTTCGGCTCCGCGGATGTGCAACAACAGGAGGCGTAGGTAGTATAATTCTCCGGCTTGCGGCTTCACGTCCGCGCACCAGCATTGCGCCGGGTGCAAGTTGGCGCGCGAGACGACTCCGGTTCATCTGTTACGGTGCCCTGAGAGCACTCTCCCTCCAGGCCCGGGCCGATCCCGCGCGTGGCTCGCTTCGCCCACGTTGTGGCGGCGCCTCCCGCGGCCCCCGACGGCCTAGATCTGAGCACGCAGCAAGAGCTGTGCTGCACCCCCATGCGCCCCCGAGGTCCTTGGGCTCGGCCAGGGGACCTCGTCCCCCGGGATAGGTATATATATATATATATATATATATATATATATATTCAACGACCAATGGGTAATATTGTTCGACAGTGACACGGAGGGGGTCGGTCCTTTTTCTCGGAAGGAGAATCCCGCTGGACAGCCCGTGGAACTGTATGATCGTAGGTTTCGCGTTCCGGATTTTGCGCCAAAAGGGTGCACGGGAATTCCTCTCCAAAGCGGAGCCTTCGCCAAAATGGCAGGCCCCACTGTGCGGGTCATTTAAGGGTTGCACTTCTTGTGGTGCGCAGGAAGCTTGTATGGACGTATGAGGAGAGCACTTGGGACGGGAGGGTGTATTGCAACATCGTTGATGCATCTTTGGTTTACTCTGATCACCCTTCTCCTCCTCCTCCTCCTCCTCCTCCTCCTCCTCATCCTCATCATCATCATCATCATCATCACCACCACCACCACCACCACCACCACCACCACCACCACCACCACCATCATCATCATCATCATCATCATCATCATCATCATCATCATCATCATCATCATCATCATCATCATCATCATCATCATCATCATCATCATCACCACCAGCAGCAGCAGCAGCAGCAGCATCAATCATCATCATCATCATCATCACCACCACCACCACCACCACCCACCACCACCATCAGCAGCAGCAGCAGCAGCAGCAGCAGCAGCAGCAGCAGTAGCAGCAGCAGCAGCATCATCATCATCATCATCATCATCATCATCATCATCATCATCATCATCATCCGCCTCCTCTTCTTCCCCCTCACCCTGCGTCTCCTCCTGCTCCTCCTTATCCTCGTCCTCCTCCCCACCGGGCAACATCTGGACCCCCCGAAAATACGAGAAAACGTCAGAGAACCTCCGGGGACTCTCGAACAGCGTGGGACACGTCTGGAACCCCAGCAGGGACGCCTCGGAGCCATGAGAACAAGAAAATGATCTGGACGCCGCCCCGTCGCTTAGAACACGACGACGATCCGACGACAACGACAGTGGCGACGGGGCATCGGCGGGGGCGCGCCGTGTCAACGACGAGCCGCTCCGCCGCTTCCGCCCCGACTGCGCGCAGGGGCGCCGGCGGCTCCCGCCGCCGCTGCCGCCGCCGCTCCGCCGCTGCCGCCGCTGCCGCCTCGGCCGCTGCGCCCGCGAAAGGCTTCCGCCGCTGCCGCCGCTGCCTCTGGCGTCGCCTGATGGGCCTGTTTTCCACCACCACCACCATAAGTTGGAGGGGGGGAGGAGGTGGAGGCCGAAGAGGAGGAGGAGGACGAAGAGGAGGAGGAGGAGGAGGAGGAGGAGGAGGAGGAGGAGGAGGTGGAGGAGGAGGAGGAGGATCCCCTCCCCCTCCAACTTATGGTGGTGGTGGTGGTGGAAAACAGGCCCATCATCGCCGCCGCTCCGGCGCTGCCGCGCGGCCCGCGCCCCGCTGCGCAGCGCTCTGGCCCGCTCGTCGGCGCCGCGGCTCCCGCGGGCACTCGGCGGCCGCGGCTGGCAGGCGCCACGCCAGCGGCGGCGCGGCTCGCGCGAGATGGGCGTGCCGCCGCCGCGGCTCCGGCCGCCGTGGCTGCTTCCGCCGCCGCCGCTCCGCCGCCGCCGCCAGGGCCGAGGCCTCCGTTGGGGCCCCCGAGGCCTCCGACAGAAGCCCCCCCGAGAGGGCAGGCGGTCTGGCAGAGCCCAGGCCTTCTCCGCCCGCGCCCCTCCGGCCTCTTCTCCTCCCCTGCCCCCTCTGCTGCCCTCGAGCAGGGACCGACCGTCCCGGCATTCCCATCGGTCTACCACGAAATGTTCTCAAATCCCCAAAGCAATGTTCTTAGAACATTAACCCGATGTGTTAAAGCAAGGCAGTCCCAGCCAGAAATGTTCCAAGAACATTTCGTGGAAACCACAAAAGGTTCTTAGAGCATTCGTTGGTAGGCCTATAGGCGAGCCAGGACGTTTCGCCAATGTTTGCTGCCCCCTCCTCGTCCGCACCTGGGCGTGGCCAGACGTGTCCCTGGACCAGGGTGCCCCCAGGATTCCCAGGGAGCCCCCCGCGATCGTGTTGCTTACGCTCGTTCTGCGGTTGTCTCCTCCGCCTGCTACTGCTGCAACTAATGCTTCCAAGACTTCGATGTGTATGAAGACACCTTGTCCGATCCTCACCGCCGAGGGATAGCGGAGCGGCTGCGCGGTGAAACGAAACACTGAGCAAAAGCACGCTGATCTCCCTCGCTTTCTCCCTCCTCCCCGTCCCCCCTCTTACCCTTATCTATCTATCTCTCCTCCTCCTCCTCCTCCTCCTCCTCCTCCTCCTCCTCCTCGTGCTGTTGCTCCTCCCGACGAGTGCCCGTCCAACACAGCGGAGGCAGCGCTGGCCGGTGGCAGAAGGCCCGGCGGCGCGCACGACGCAGGGGAGCGCCGCCGCTCGGAGGCCCGCCCGGCGTCCAAGAGCGGCCCTCGCGGAAACAGCCAGTCCTTAGGCCCGCCCCGGTGCGCAGCACGCAGCACGCAGCGTGCTGGCACGGAGCTCAACACGTTCTCTTGTTTGTTTTTCCATGAGCGCCAGATGGGGAGTATGACAGTTGTAAGCCTTCCCACGGAGGGCAAGGGGGGCTCCACCACGCAAAGCGTCAGCCATGGAGGCAAGGGGAAAGGGAGAAGGAGGAGGAGGAGGAGGAGGAGGAGGAGGAGGACGAGGACGAGGAGAAACGGGCACGCAAAATGCGGGCACGGAGCTCAACACGCATCCTGAAAACGTAGGTCTGACGCGATGCTGCTGCGAGGCGGGGATTTATCCATATCCACCGCCTGGGAACCTGCGTCCTGGTGCCCCAGTGGGCGGCGGGTATGGATATATTCGGGCCCCCAGGGGCCAAAATACATCCATGTCCACCGCCTGCCGAGGTCCCCGAAAACCGATCCTCCAGGCGGTGGCCATGCATCGATCCCCGCCTCGGAGACACGCTCGCGGAAGCGTGGGGCCAATACGCCGAGCCAACTTTTTCGGTCGCGGCCGCGCGACAACGGTCAGGCGGCGAGAGGCAAAGTCCAAGGGCAGGCGGCACGATGCGAATTTGCGAACACCGCCGCCACGTTGGCAAGTCGGTTCGCACCTACGCCGAGCCAACGCGCAGCGTGTCGACACGGACGTTTTGGGCACGCCGCGTGCTGCAGGAGGAGGAGGAGGAGGAGGAGGAGGAGGAGGAGGAGGAGGAGGAGGAGGAGGAGAGGAGGAGGGAGGAGGAGGAGGAGGGGAGGAGGAGGAGGAGGAGGAGGAGGAGGAGGAGGAGGAGGAGGAGGAGGAGGAGGAGGAGGAGGAGGAGGAGGAGGAGGAGGAGGAGGAGGAGGAGGAGGAGAGCGTGCGCGGCGAGGCAGCGGAGCTCCCGGCGCCTCCGGGAGAGCACACCCGCCCGCCGAGAGAGAGAAGCCCGCCCGCCTCTCCTGCCCGGGGGGGAAGCCGCCGCTCTCCCGCGCGCGAGGAGGGGGCCGCTCACCGGGGCCGGCAGGGCGCGACGGGCGCGGCCGGCCGAGGACGCGAAGTCCGAAGCCAGCCGGCGACCCGGCGTCGTCGTCGTCGTCGCCGTCGTCGCCGTCGTCGTCGGCGTCGGCGTCGGCGTCGGCGTCGTCGTCGTCGTCGTCGTCGTCGCCGTCGTCGTCGTCGTCGTCGTCGCCGTCGCCGTCGTCGTCGTCGTCGTCGCCGTCGCCGTCGTCGTCGTCGTCGCCGTCGCCGTCGTCGTCGTCGTCGTCGCCGTCGCCGTCGTCGTCGTCGTCGCCGTCGTCGTCGTCGTCGTCGAAGGAGGAGGAGGAGGGAGCCCGAGCCCGAAGTCCGAGGGCCGCAAAAGCCCGCAGAGCCGAGGCCCCAAAAAGCCCAGAGAGGCCTGGCGCGCAGGCCGAAAAAGACCGAGCCAGGGCATCGGAGCCCCGGGAGGCACGAGGCCTGGGAGCCCGGCGCCCAGAGCCCGGCCCGGAGACCAGAGCCTCGAGACCCCAAGGCCGAGCACCCGAAACCCGAAGTAATCCGAAGGCCGAGCCGGGAACCCGAAGCCCGAAACAGAATGGGACGCACAGAGACATACTGATGCTACATGTTCTTCTTGGAGGCGCGCGTCCGAACCAAACATGTAGTATACCCACCTTGCAGTGCATCGTTTCGCGAGCGGTGTGGCCAGAAAGCGCCCGCCACAACGCAAATACTATAAGATTTCTCTGTGCGCGCGTCGCCCCTGCGGGGGCGACGCACATATAGTAGAAGTATGTCGGGGTGACGCCGACAAAAGCCCGAAGCAAGAAAACCGAAGCCCGCAACCCGAAAAGCGAGCCCGAAAACGGAAGCCCGCAAATGAATACCCGAAGCAGAAGAACTCGAAGCCGGACCCGAAACCCTAGACGAGAAGCCCGGCCCGAAGACCGGCCTTCAATACCGAAAACGCGAGGCACCAAAGCCGAAGCGCCAGAAAGACGGGCACCCGAAGCCTGAAACCAGGCCCGAAGTCCAGAACCCCAAAGCCGACACCCGAAGTAAACAAACAAACAAGCGAGGGGCCTGTGAAGCTTCTGGGAGGCCTTTGTGAAGCCTCCGAGAAGCCGCTGGGTGACCTGCACACAGGGCTGCTGCGAGGTCCCACAGGTCTCACGGGTCGCACAGATCTCGCAGGCTCCACAGGTCCCACAGGTTCCACTGGTACTGAAGACGCAGGTTTCACGGGCCCCACGGGCCACGGAAGTCCCCCAGGTTGCGCAGGTCCCGCAAGCTTCCCCGGCCCGTCTGTGCCAGGGCTGAACCGAAACGGTGCTGTTCGTCTTCGTTTTGTTTTCGTGTTCCCTCGCTTTTGTCGCCAACCCGCCTCCAGGGCTGAACCTAAA